AATTTAAGAAGATTATTTTTATTAATAAAATAAAATAAATATATATATAATATATATATATATATATATAAATATATATATATATATATATAAATTATTATCATTTAAATAATATAATTTTATAATTTGTTAAAATAATATAAAGATATTTAAAAATAATTAAATAATTATTTATTTTTAGTTATATTATTAAAAATTAATATTTAAAATAATATAAATACTTATATGTTTTAGAATATATTATTTTATAAATTATTAAAAAATTGTTTATTGAAATATATATATTTATATATAATTATATTTTTTTAATTATTTATATTTTTTTTTATTTATGGTTTTTTCTACATAGATATTTTTTACCACATATTATTAATAATTTTTTAATTAAAATAATTATAACATTTATATTACGACTATATTCAATTTAACTAAAATATATAATTTAGTAATTTTATGCCAAATATTTTAAATATCAATGGTAAATTTTTATCAGTTATATATTTTAATTCAAACCCACATTTTTTATATAATTTAATAGCAACATCATTACTATTTAAAAATCTTATGTACATATTTTTAAATCCTTTTTATTTTCCATATTAAATGGCGTGCTAACATAACTTATAACCAACACCACTTCCTCTGTATTATTTTTTTACAGATAATCTTTATAATTCGCAATCACCTTCATTATTATCTAAATTAATAGCTATAAATCCTATAAATCCTATTAATTCATTATTATTTTAATTTATGGCTAAAAAGAATCGATTTTTTTCACTTTTATTATAATATTCATTAATATTCTTTAAATCTGCTTTTAAAATACATTCTGAATAAAGGTTAAATTATCTAAGCATTAATTTCGGTGAAATATAGAATATGTATACTACGAATAATATTAGTGTATAAAAAAATCCGATTAAATATATTAAAATAGGTAATAATATTATTAGATTATACTTCTAAGCATTTAAGAAAAAACTCAATAGTTTTGTAGGTTGATTTATATGTTATGTTTATGGAATATTTATATAGTATAATTCTTTAATTTCTTTATCATAAATTTCTTAATATTCAATTATTTTTATGTCCATTTTAATTTTAATATAAATATATTGTAATTTTTTTATTCTTTACCTTATTTATAAACATAAAATTTATTTAAAATAAATATTAAGAAATTCAAATATAATTTATATAATTATTATTTACAATAATATTTATTTATATTCATAAATTATAATATATTAAAAAATTAAAAATAAAATTATTATTAGAAAATTGTGAAATTTTCTATTTAATTAAATATTTATTAATTATTATAAATAAAATTTTTATTAAACTAATATTTTAATAATATAAGTTATATTTTTTTTTAGAAATTTATATATATATATATATATAATCTGAACTATTTCATATATTATTTTTTCAATTTCAATATTTAATTAAATTTTTATTTATTAAAAATCACTTTTCTTTACAAATATTAATTTATAGATATCCTATTTATCTCAATATTTTATATTTTTTATTAATATCAGTCACTATAAGAACCGTAAATCATAATTTGAAATTAGTCTTAATTTATTATTTTAATTAAAAATATTTTTTAATTATATTTTAAAGCAATATATGATAAAAAAATTAAGTTAATTAATTGAAATTTTCGAAAATAAATAAAATAATTGAAAACATTTTTAATATATACCCGATTATATATATAACAAAAAAAGGTAATAATCTTATTAACTTGTATTTGTAAGTATATATGGAAATAATCAATATTTTCGTTATTTTTTATTCATAATACTTAAAATGAATAAATAATTTCTTTTTTAATGTGTTTTTTTAATATATTATTAAATATTATAATTTAAACAATATAAGTATTAAACTTAAAATCAATAAAAAATATATACTTAATTTTAAGAAAAATATGTATTTATTATTAGATAAAAAATACTAATAATTAAAAATATGTTTTTATTTATAATAATATAAAATATGATAATAATCATTAACTAATAAATTTAGAATTTTAATTAACATTCGAATCAATATATTGTTTTTTAAAAACCCCGTTTTCAATCTTATTTTCCAAAGCCTCTTTTTAATTTTTATTAAATTTATAAACTTATTATTCAACTATATGTTTTCCTGCTAAAATTTTTGTATTTTTATAAATACTTTATTAAATTTCTTTATCTTAAAAATAATTATAATCTCCTCCTATTTTAATTTAACAATGACCTCCTGGACTTTAAGTTACCTTTATTTATTATAAATTATATAAACATATTTATGTTTTTATAAAAAATATATAACTTTAATTGATGTTTTTTATATTTAATTTTATGGAAAAAAATAATCATTTTTATCTTTTCCACTTATTCTTTATCCAAAAGTAATTTCTATTGGATTTATTTACTATTCTTTTTAATTAATTAATTATTCTTTGATATTTATTTATTGTTCTTTAATAAATATTTCCTACTTTTTATTTTTTTATTCTTATTCATATTATTATTAAATCTCGTCGATTTATTATATTGCATTTTATTATTAGTTTATTTCATTTTTTAGTTAAAGTAGCTCTTTTTCTAATTTTTATATTTCATCTTCTTCTTCAAGTTCTTATTTTTATTTATTTTTTTAAATTTATTTTTCTTAAATTTTATCTAGCAAAAGAATTTTTTAAAATCCGGTTTTAATAATTACTTGTTTTTTAATAAGTTTTTATATCCATATTTAACATTTAATTCTTTTGTTTTTTTAATTTTATCTTAATTATATTTCGAACGATTTCTTATGTTTTAAAATAAATCTTAAAATGATTCATTATAATGTTTCTTTTAAGAATTTATAAGTATTATATGATTCATTTTTTTTATAATAAAATTTTATAAAAATACTAAGTAATAAAAACACAAAAAAACAATTATTTAAAATTTATTTTATTGTTTATTCAAAAAATAAATTTATATATAATAAATTTTTATCTAATAAATATATAAATCTTAACCAATTCCATAAAATAATATCTATTTTACAAGGAATTACTGGTATATATAGGATATTTATATCCGAATAAATAATTAGAATATTTTTTCTATATATTAGAGTTAAAGTTGATATATTTATTTATCATTAGTAGATATAATAAGGGTGATTATTACATTTAATATTTTTAGATATTTATAAAATATATATTAATCTGATAATATAAAGAAAGTATATATTATTTTAATATGCATTATTTATATATTATAATAAATATGTTTTTAATAAGAAATTAAATTTATTAAAATATATTTAAATTAAAAACATTAAATCATATTATTAAACAAGCACTGAAAAAATTAATTTCTGAATAATAAAAAAAATTGATTAAAACAAATAATAATAATACAAAATCTATTTGTAAAAAAAAAATTAATTATGAATTCTAGTATAAATAATTTAAATTAAGACATATATAAACATATAATTAAAAAATTATAATAATTTGTTTAGATATTAAATATATAAATAAATATAAATATATTTAGATATATTATATATATAAATATATTTATCAATCAGATTTTATTAAATATATTTTTATTTTATTTATATTTTTATATATATTTTTTTAATGTTTATTAATTAATTTAAATAATATATTATATGATAATGAAAATAGATATTTGTTTATTTTTATAAATAAAATTTAAAAACAAAACATTTATTAAAAAATTAATAAATTATCATAAATTGACTTTTATTTAATATTTAGGTGGTAATTAAGCAAATAAACCTTTTTTTTGTATATTAATAGAACTATTTAATCTTTTACTCGGTGTGTTCTATCTATTAATATTTATCGCATTTTTATTATTTTCGCTTTAAATATATCCTTTTTATTAAGATTAACTTCTTTATCTTTGAATAATTTATTCATCGATGTTTGTTTTTTTTAATATATTTTATATTTAAATTATTATCATTTTATTAATGCACATAAATAATAGGTTATTATTAGTATCGTTAATTAATAGGTGGAAGCTTATGCTTCCTTCCTGAATCATCATTACTTTAAATTCTTTAATTTTTTTTATAATTATATAGACCAGGTTAAGCTGATAATTATCTATTTTTTTTTTTTTCTTATTTTATATTTAAATTATCTTATATTTTTTATTATTTTTAAAGTATTATTATTAATATTATTATTATTATTATTATTATTATTATTATTATTATTATTCTCTTAATTTCTAATTTAAACTTAACTTTATTCTTTTTTTTTCCTATATAAAATTTATTCGATTTCTATATCTTCTATATTTTCATACATTGCTTTTGGTAATTTTAAATTTAATTCTTTTAAATTTCCTCTCTTTGTTAATTTTATTGTTTAAATTAAATTCTAATCTCTACCTTTAGTATCTTCTATATTCATATATTTAGCAATATTTTTATTTTTAAGTAAATTATCAACATTTTCTCTTTACTTTGGGTCCACTTTTAAACAAACTGATATGAAATTTTATAATTCACTAGAATACTTTTAACTATTTATGGGTATAAAAGCTCCTTTAACTATTTTTTTATAAAGATCTTCTATTGAAATTCCTTTAAAAGGCGGTTCAAAAGTAGAAATTTCATACAAAACACATCCAAAAGACCATATATCGCATTTACTATCATATGGTTTATTTTTCCAAACTTCAGGGGCTGTATAATATGGAGTACCTGTTTACGTATATGCAAAATCTCTTTTTTATACTTTTGAAACATTTAAATCACCAAGTTTTAAAGAATCCGAGTTAGAAATGAAGATATTAGCACATTTTAAATCTCTATGTAAAATTTTAGAACTATGGAGTATTTTTAAACCTTTTAAAATATCAGAAGCATATTTCCATATTGATTTTTCGTCAAAATAATCATTCCTTTTCATATGTTCACTAATTTGCTTTTATAAATCACCTTTTGTTGCGAATTCCATTATTATACAAAGCGTTTAGGTAGGATTGTCTATAAAAGCATTTTTATATCTTATTATATTTTCGGATTTTAAAGAGGCTAATATTCGGACTTCGTTTAAAGCATTTTCTTATTCACGAGTTGATAAACACATCATTTTTACTTTTTTCATTGCATATTACTTCTAATCTTAGATTCTATTTACTAAATATACAGTACCGAATGTACCTTCACCTAAAGGTTTTATTATTTTAAAATGTGAAAGTTATGACATATGTGCTTTTTTATATTTGATGATATTTTTAATGTTTTTTAAATATTATTTATTAGTAATTATTTTTTTGTTTATATTAAAAATTCTATTTTTTTGTTTAAATTCATATTAATTAATTTCAAAAATTTATAATTTTAATTAAATTTAATTTTTGTACTTTTAAAAGCTTTTATGTTTAAAAGAATTTAATTTATAAAAAATAAAAAATATTAATTTGATAAAAAAATAAAAAAAATATTTTATAAAAAGTAAATTTTAATTGATATACAATAAATTTCATATAAACTAATTTTTTATTTTATAAATAATATGGCTTATAATAGAAAAAACATATATTTTTTTAAGAAATAAAGAAATGTTAAAAATTAAATAGTATCATCAAGAAAATATATATTCATTTTATATAAATAAAAAACAAATAGATGTAAAAGAATAATTATACTAAATTTATAATATATGTATATCTATTTAATTTTATGATGATCTTAAATGTAAAGTTTTTATTTTTATTGTTTGTTTGTTATCAATATAAATAAACAAAAATAGTATAAAACTTTATTTAAAATAAAAATAAATATGTATATGAAAATTCCATATAAGAATAAAATGTTATAAAAATTTTTATAAAAATATTTAAATAAAAATAAAAAATAAAATATATATATTTGTATTTAAATTAAAATGAAATATATATATTTTTATATATTATTAATTTTAATCAATAATAAGAATATTAATTATATAAAATAATATAGAAATTAATTAATTTTTATAATAATTAAAAATTATTTATAAAAAAAAATTAAATATATATATATATATATATATATATATATATATATATATTAATATATTTATATATATTTTATATATGTTTTTCTATTTATATTTTTTTTATATAAACATAATTAAATATCAATTTTCCTTAATAATATTTTTCATTAATTTATTTGTTTATTTAAATTATATATTATGAAACATTAATTTATTTATATATATTTTTAATTTCTTTAGAAATTTATAAATAAATAAATAATTTATTAATTTATATCAAAAACATATTATATTTATATATTTTTTCTAATAATATCATTTGTAATTATTTAAATAACTTTTAACAAATTCATTATATTTCATAGGATCTACAATAATATTTTATTTTTAAGCTTAATTATATATTTCCTAAATTTAAACATTTCGTGCAGGATGATCGTAACTAAGTTATAATTTTAAAGTAATTGCTACATTATAGAATTATCTTTTTAATTCATTTTAAACCTTATTATCATAAATTTCTTTATTTTATATATTTAAACTATTACTTTAAGTCTTAATAGATTAAAATCCATTACTTTAATTCTAGTTGGATTAAAAATCATTACTTTATTTTTAAATAGGTTAAAAACCATTACTTTAAGTTTAAATAGTTTAAAAGCCAATATTTTAACTTTAAATAGGTTAATAAACATTACTTTAAGTTTAAAAAGGTTAATAACCATTGCATTAGGTTTAAATAGATTAAAATTCACTACTACTTTAAGTCTAAATGGGTTAAAAACCATTTTAAGTCTAAATATCATTTTAATTCTATATAGGTTAAAAACTATTTCTTTAATTTTAAATAGACTAAAAACCACTTTAAATCTAAGTAGGCTAAAAACCATTACTTTATGTCTAAAAAGGTTATAAGCCATCAATTTAAGTCTAAATAGGTTAAATACCCTATCCTTATATTTAAATAGGTTTAAAATCATTAGTTTAATTCTAAATAGGTTAAAAACCATTATTTTAAGTTTTAATAGATTAAAAATCTTGAGTATTTATTATATTATTTTTTGGGTATTTATTTTATTTTTTCATATAAATAAAGTTAACTTAATCTTCGTATTTAGAAGAGCTTTAAGAAGAAAAGGAAATCTATAAATTATTATTAATTTCTTAATTACTTTAAGTACAAATATTCTTATTATAATTATTTTTTTAATCGAAACTATCAATATTATTATCATAATTAAAACTATAATTATTATTCCTAAAGTAACTAGTATGATTTTTATTTTTTACAGTATTATTATTTCTATTATCCCTAAAAATCTTCCCAAATTTTTTATTATTCTAACTTTTAATAGGATATATAATTTAATTACAAATCATAATAACTCTTTAGGTTAAAACCATTAAAGCAATATCTTCTTAACCACTAAAAGTGATTTCTGAGCAAATTTTTTTCATTTTTTCTAATTCTTAAGCAGTACATTTATAGTTTTTCATTATATTTTCAATACATTACAGCATTTCTTATTTTTATTTTGTTTTTTAAATAAAGCATTTATTTTATTATATGTTTTTTATAGTTTTTCTTATATCTCATTATTATTGCTTTTTTAATTATTTATATATTTTTCGGATTATATACATTAATGTTTTTCAATTATGGAAATTTCGAAGTATTTATCACAAGTAATGCAGAGAATTTTTTATTAATTTTATGATAAAAGCTACTATTATTTATTATTTTGTTCTGATTTTTCAAATAATTATTTTTCTTCAAATAAAGGACTTTCTAAATTAATATTTTCATATTTGGGAATTATATATTTAGAAGAAGATGAAGAAGAATCATAATAATTATTAGTATTTAAATCATTATTTTGACGAAATTTAAAAGTAGATTATGTAGGTTATAGTTAATATGAATTGAATTGTTATTACTAACTTGAAGAATTCGAAGGAATTTTCTTTTCAGAACTTATACTAAATTCAGACTAGACTTTATTTTTTTGTTTATATTATTTATAATCTAATTATTATTATAATAAATCAACTTTATTTTTTATATTCTACTAAGTATATTATTTTTAATTTAAGCCAAAACTTAAATGATTTTAATAATCTGGATTTGCTTATTAATATATTTATCGTTATAAAGGTGTATTAAAGTAATTATCTTTAAATTCTAAGTTAGGTTTATTTATATTTATTTTCGTATATTAATAATGTTTATTATTAAAATCAAAGTCTTCATTTTCATAAGTTTATAGATTTTAAACTGATTGCCTTTCTTATTATAAATAATCGAATTTATTCAATAACTATTAAGCATTTTTGATTTCGTGATTTTTTATTTATATATTTTCGTATTTTTATAAGTTATTAGTTGATTATATTGTACTTAAGTAATCTTAATCTTAATTATATTCGATCTTTTTTAAATTTAATCAATTATTTAGTTCCCTTAAAGATATTAATCTATATATTTTTTATCACTTTAATCACATTTTCTTATTAAATTATTTATATCGTTTTTTACTCGTTTTCATTATTAATAATAGGATATTAATTGTTTTTTATTATTTAATGATTTTAGATATTTTCGTTATGGTTTTAATAATAATTTTTAGTGTTAGAATTTTCGTTCTTTTTATTTAGTTAAATTGCATTTTATTATAGATTATAACTTTTTTCGTATTTTTGCATTATTTATTCATATTTTTGGTTTATATTGTTTATTTTATTAAATTAATTTATTATATTTGGCTATATGTTATAATTACTTAATTATTTATTTTTCTCTTAATTCATATCATTGTCACAATTACTCAAAAAATTTAAAAAGCTTTAATCAATTGAAAGATCGGATATAAATTATTTCTATTATTGTATTTATTAAAGATCTTTTTGGAAATTTATTGCTGATATACGACTATTTAATGCATTTTTATATTAATTAAAATCGTTAGTGACTTAATTAATATCATTCTAACTTTTAAATTTAAAATTATCCATTTATTTATTATTATTATTTATTTATTTATTTTTTTTTAAAAAAAAGAAATTAATTATTGTATTATTTTTAACAATTTAATTTCTTATATCTATATTTTCCTTTATGTTTTTGATATTATTTTTTGTTTAAATAATTATTTTAATTATTAGTGTATTTAATAAAATAATTGTTTAAAAATAAATTAAAATTTAATTTTATATTTAAACGTGTATATAATAATATTAATTATATTCATAAGTTTAAATAATATTAAAAAATAAAGGTATAAAAATGTATAATAATGGCTTTATTTTTATAAAATTATTATATATTTAAAATAATGTTTATATATTTTATATTCTTTCATTAGATTTTTTTTCGTTTTTTTGTTTTTTTTTTTTAATAAATTTAATTATATAAAAAAATAAAAAATTATTATTTTAATAATAAAAATTATAATTTCAATAATTTTTTAATTTGTATATTTTTCTTTTTAGAAATTTTCATTTTTTTATATATAATATATATATGTATATTTTCTTTTAAAAAATTAGCTAAAAATAACAAAAAAATATTAATATTTTATTCTTTAAATAAACTAAAATTATTAAAATTTTATTTTTAAAAATATAATTTATAATTTTTTTTTTAGTTTTCGAAAAAAATAAAATAAAAAAAAGAGGTTTATGAATTGGCTATATTAAATAAAAATTTATTAATTAAAAATTATTAATTAAAATTCCACTCAAAAAAAAAAAAAAAAAAAAAGCTTAAAAATATATTTTTTACTAAAAAAATGGGTATATGTTGTACCAAATCAAGGAAAAAAGAAAAATCAGAAATAAAAAAAAGAAATTTAAAATTATTAATAAATACTAAACAAACAATATAAAATTAATCTACATGTGAATCTCGAAGTAATATGTTCACATAATCAACATAAAAGCATGTCCTTTGTACAATTCAATCAACAGATGAATAATAAAAAACAGAAAATGATGATGTATATAAAAAAAACAAATAGATAATATTTATTTTTCAAAATAAAAAAGTATTTAAATAAACTAGAATATGATTTAGAATTTTGTCTATAAACTCAAAATATAGATGAAGAACAAAAATTTTTAAAAAACTCACTTTTAAAATAATAATAATAAAGTAAATCTGAATAAATAAGTACAAGTATTAATAATAATAATAGAAGAAAAATGATAAAATCGGTCACATTTATAAA